GGTTTCTCTCCACCCGCCGGGAGCCGGGGGGAGGGGCGCTCGGGTCCCGCCGGGCCGGGGCTTGTATCTTACCCCCTTCGCAAGGCGCTGGGTTCTTGCAGGTGTGGATGTGGTCTGGATGTTGTCCTGTGTCCTGTGGTCTCTATTTTAGGAAGATTTTTCTTTGTTATATTTTCATAGCTCTATGTGTTTTTGGGAGGAGATTTCCACTGCTCTACTCACGCCGCCATCTTGGCTCCGCCTCCGATCATGTGGTTTTTGTCCTTCTGTTTGTTGATGTGGTGGATGATGTTGATGGATTTTCAAAAGTTGTACCATCCTTGCATCACTGGAATAAACCCTACTTGATCATGATGGATGATCTTTTTCATGTATTTTTGAATTCAGTTTGCTAATATTTTGTTGAGTATTTTTGCATCTGTGTTCATCAGGGATAATGGTCTATAATTTTCTTTTTTTGTGGTGTTTTTGCCTGGTTTTGGTATTAGAGTGCTGATGGCCTCATAGAATGAGTTTGGAAGTATTTCTTCTTCTACTATTTGGAAAACTTTAAGGAGGATGGGTATTAGGTCTTCACTGAACGTTTGATAGAATTCAGCGGTGAAGCCATCTGTACCAGGTGTTTTGTTCTTAGGTAGTTTTCTGATTACCAGTTTGATTTTGTTGCTGGTATTTTGTCTGTTCAGATTTTCTGTTTCTTCCTTGGTTAGCCTTGGAAGGTTGTATTTTACTAGAAAGTTGTCCATTTCTTCTAGGTTATCTAGTTTGTTAGCATATAATTTTTCATAATATTCTCTAATAATTCTTTGTATTTCTGTGGTGTCCCTAGTGATTTTTCCTTTCTCATTTCTGATTCTGTTTATGTCTGTATACTCTCGTTTTTTCCTGATAAGTCTGGCTAGGGGTATATCTATTCTGTTTATTTTCTTGATGAACCAGCTCTTGCTTTCATTGATTCTTTCTACTCTTTTATTCTTCTCAATTTTATTTATTTCTGCTCTAATCTTTATTATGTCCCTCCTTGTACTGACATTGGACCTCATTTGTTCTTTTTCTAGTTTCATTAATTGTGAGTTTAAACTGTTTATATGGGATTGTTCTTCTTTCCTGAGGTAGGCCTGTATTCCAATATACTTTCCTCTTTGCATGGCCTTGGCTGTGTCCCACAGATTTTGTGGTGTTGAATTATAGTTGTCATTTGTCTCCGTATATTACTTGATCTCTGTTCTTATTTGGTCATTGAGCCATTGTTTATTTAGGAGCATGTTGTGAAACCTCCATGTGTTTGTGGGATTTTTCATTTTCTTTGTTTAATTTATTTCTAGTTTCATACCTTTGTGGTCTGAGAAAGTGTTTGGTACAATTTCAATCCTTTTGAATTTACTGAGGCTCTTTTTGTGGCCTAGTATACGATCTATTCATTCATTCATTTATTTATTTATTTAAATTTTTGCTATCATTAATCTATAATCACATGAAGAACACTATGTTTACCAGGCTTCCCCCTTCACCAAGTCCCTCCCACACAACCCACTGCAGTCACTATATGATCTACTCTTGAAAATGTTGAGTGTGCATTTGAGAAGAATGTGTATTCTGCTGCTATTGGGTGTAGAGTTCTGTAGATGTCTGTTAGGTCCATATGTTCTAATGTGTTGTTCAGTGCCTCTGTATCATTACTTATTTTTTGTCTGTTTGATCTGTCCTTCAGAGTGAGTGGAGTATTGAAGTCTCCTAGAATGAATGCATTGCATTCTATTTCCCCTTTTAATTCAGTTAGTATTTGTTTCACATATGTAGGTGCTCCTGTGTTGGGAACATATATGTTTATAATGGTTATATCCTTTTGTTGGACTGACCCCTTTATCATTATGTAATGTCCTTCTTTTCTCATGTGACTTTCTTTGTTTTAAGTCTATTTTGTCTGGTACAAGTACTGCAACTCCTGCTTTTTTCTCTCTATTAGCTGCATGAAATAGCTTTTTCCATCCCTTCACTTTCAGTTTGTGTATGTCTTTGGGTTTAAAGTGAGTCTCTTGTGGGCATTATTTGATGGGTCTTGTTTTTTATCCATTCAGTGACTCTGTGTCTTTTGATTGGTGCATTTAGTCCATTTACATTTAGTGTGATTATTAATAGGTATGTACTTATTACCAAAGCAGAGTTTAGATTCATGATTACCAAAGGTTCAAGGTTAACTTCCTTACTATCTAAGAGTCTAACTTAACTTACTTAATATGCTATTACAAACACAATCTAAGAGTTCTTTTCTTTTTCTCCTCCTTTTTTTTCCTCCTACATTCTTTATATATTATGTATCATATTCTGTACTCTTTGTCTATCCCTTGATTGACTTTGGGTATAGTTTATTTAATTTTGCATTTGCTTAGTAATTAACTGTTGTACTTTCTTTAGTGTGGTTTTATTACCTCTGATGACAGCTATTAAACCTTAGGAACACTTCCATCTGTAGGAGTCCCTCCAGAATAGACTGGAGATTGTTTGTGGGAGATAAATTCTCTCAGCTTTTCCTTATCTGGAAATTGTTTAATCCCTCCTTCAAATTTAAATGATAATCTTGCCAGATAGAGTAATCTTGGTTCCAGGCCCTTCTACTTCATTGCATTAAATATATCATGTCACTCCCTTCTTGCCTGTAAGGTTTCTGCTGAAATGTTTGATATTAGCCTGATGGGCTTTCCTTTGTATGTGATCTTATTTCTGTCTCTGGCTGCTTTTAACAGTCTGTCCTTATCCTTGATCTTTTCCATTTTAATTACTATATGTCTTGGTGTTGTCTTCCTTGGGTCCCTTGTGTTGGGAGATATGTGGATCTCCATGGCCTGAGAGACTGTCTCCTTCCCCAGATTGGGGAAGTTTTCAGCAATTACCTCCTCAAAGACACTTTCCAGCCCTTTCTCTCTCTCTTCTTCTTCTGGTACCCCTGTAATGCGAATAGTGTTCCGGTTGGATTGGTCACACAATGCTCTCAATATTCTTTCATTCATAGAGATCCTTTTTTCTCTCTCTGCTTCTTTGTATTCGTTTTCTCTAGTTTCTATTGTATTTATCCTCTCGTCCACTGTATTCAATCTGCTTTTAATACCCTCCATTGTGCTCTTCAATGGCTGGATCTCCAATTGGAATTCATTCCTGAGTTGTTGAATATCTTTCCATACCTCTCTTAGCATGTTAATGATTTTTATTTTGAACTGCCTTTCAGGAAGATTCATGAGGTCCATGTCATCTTTCTCAGGGGTCATATTAATTTTACTCTATATTTGGTTCCTTTGGCATTTCATATTTGTGTATGGCGTCCTCTAGTGTCTGGAAGCTCTACTCCCTGGAGCATGCCCAGCCCCTGAAGCAATGTCAGGGGTGGCAGGGGAGTGGTATTGGTGCCTGGGGGGAGGAAAGAGCTGTTTCCTGCTTCCCGGCTGCTATCCCTGTCTCCACTGCTTGAACCCAGTGGGCTGATCACACAGGTATAAGCTTTTATCCCAGAGCAGGTGGATATGGATCCCTGCTTTCCACAAGCAGCCGGAATTTCAGTCTCTCCAGGAATTCTGCCTGTCTTAGCTTTCTAACCCCACAATCATGAGAATATAATGAAAGCAGCATGAAATGTAGGTATTGCTCCCAGAGCAGATCTCTGGAGTTAGGTATTCAGCAGTCCCAGGCTTCCACTCCCTCCCTGCTCAGTTTCGCTTCCTCCCACTGGTGAGCTGGGGTCGGGGAAGGGCTTGGGTCCCACCGGGTCACTGCTTTGGTACATTACCCTGTTCCATGAGGTCTGCTCTTTTCTCCAGGTGTATGCAGTCTGGCCCAGTCCTCTTTCCTGTTGCTCTCTCAGGATTAGTTGTATTAATTATATTTTCATATTGTATGTGGTTTTAGGAGGAAGCCTCTCTCTCACCTCTCACCTGCCATCTTTAATCCCATTTAATTGGGTTTTACTTTCAGAAACCCACCAGGTTTGGGTTTCACTTTCAGGAAAACCACCAGGTTATCTGGTAAAGAGCTGAGAAAGACCTCCTTGTTGGGCCAGCTGGTGAGAGGGGAATTAACCAGTTTGGAATCTCTTCAGAGCATTCTCTGTAACAAAGACCTACTCTCCCTGGAGAAAGGCTTTACCAGAGACTTATTCTACCTGTCTACATTTTCCAACTCCAGGAAACATTCCTATTTCATCTAAGGGGATGGGGGAAAGGTAAAAAACAATGTGAAGGTCACAGTCCAGAGACACACAGGCTCACTAGAAGAATGAAATTTAATCATGAGATTATGGAGAGCTTCTCTTCACCCACACCTTACCCCCACATCACAGGGCTTCAGTACAACAGTGGATCACAGCTGAAGGATGTGTCAAGTGTGGACTCTATTTAAAGAGTAGTTCTTGGAGGAATCTGGCATCTGCAGCTACAGCAAACATTAAACACAGCCACTCTCTTAGCCAAATGGGCATGAAACCTCACACTAATGACCTTCTCTCTCAGTTCCTATTAGCTGATGCACTGTGTCTGGCTTTCAGCCAAAATTACAAGGCATGCTGGAAGGCAAGAAAAACAATCTAAAGATAGAGCAAGCATTAGAACCAGACCCAGATAAGTGATACACATTTTGGAATTATCAGGGAGTTTAAAAGAGCCATGATTAATATGTTAAGGTCTCTAATGGAAGAAGTAGACAACATGCAAGAACAGATGACTAGTGTAAGCAGTGAGATGGAAACAAAGATTCAAGGAAATGTTAGATATCAAATGTAAGGGAAATGAAAAATACCTTTGAAGGGCCCATGGTGGACTCAAGATGACTGAGAAAAGAGTCATTGAACTTGAAGATGATGATGTCAGTAGAAACTTCCTAAAGTGAAATGCAAAGAGAAAAGAGAATGAAGAAAACAATGTCTAAGAACTGTGGGACAATTTTAAAAGGTGTAAAATACACAGAATACCAGCAGGAAGAAAAGGATGGGGTAGAAGAAATATTAGAAGTAATAATGGCCCTAGAATTTTCCCAAATGAATGACAGATACCAAAGCTGATCCAGGAAGCTAATAGAACATAAGCAAAATAAATACCAAAAAGTCTATAGACATGCCCAAACTGCAGAAAACCAAAGACAACAAAATCTCGAAAAGAAGCCAGAGGGAAAAAAAACACCTTACCTAGACTTCTTGTCAGAAACCATGTACACCAGGAGAGGGTGGAGTGCAATATTTAAAGTATTGAAAGATAGGTAAAGCAGTGTGACCAAGGCCACATAGCTAAGTGGTGCAGCAAGGCCCACATTCTAGTCTGTCTGGCTCCAAAGCCAATAATGTTCTTAACCTCTATGCCTCACATGGACAGACCAACTGGATATTTATATAAGGAAGAAAATAAATTAATCCATGATCTCATTATCTAGAGCAGTAGCTTTCAAACTTTATTACATATCAGTTACCTTGTTAAAATGTGGACTGCTTGGCCTCATGCCCAGAGTTTCTGAACCAGTAAGTCGGGGTTAGGGATATGAAAATTTGCATTTCTAACAAGTTATCATAAGATGAGGATGCTATTAAAAACCACTGATCTAGAATCTAGAGTAAAGTTGGCCATTTTAATGTATTTTCTTCTAGGTTTCTTCTAGGCAGATTTGTATTTTATTTGGTTTATAGACTTGAGATGATATTGTGTGTAGTTTTATACCCAGCTTTTTCACTTACTATTATAAATACTTTTTCATGTCATAAGCAGATCTCAAAAACATCATTCATAATAGCTGTATTCATTATATCTATGGAATATATTTATTTAAGCTTGTCTCTGGAATAGATTTTGGCATTACTTAGGTCAAACTGAACAATAACATTATTTGTACTTCCAGTTAATTAATCTTGAGGGCATTTCTTACCTCCTTTGCTGTGTGTTTTAAATAGTTCTCATGGTAAGGAGTCCTCCTGGGACTTATTATTTTATCTTAATTTCTGTAGGTGGGGTTTTGAGCACCTAGTTAAATATTTAAATACGTATACAGAGATTTTAGCTTCAGAAAAAAATCTTAGCTTTGCTATTTGTTTAAAAACCTCTTTATAACTTTAGGCAATTTGATTTGTGTTTTGGTTATGACAGCCTCTTCTCTATTATCAATTTCTTCTTTTGAAGTTAAATGTAACTTTTTTCTATGGCTTGATTTTAATTAGATATAATAGCTAGTTTTTAGCCTTAGCATTTCAATTGCTAAAAAACAAATATGTCAGATTACTGACTTTGGTAGTGCCTAATAGGACAGTTAAAAGACTTTTCATTATTATATTAATATATTAATTTAGTTATATTTGCTTTATAGTAAGCACATCTGTTCTATGTTTTTGTGACATTGTAGAGTAGGAAGAAGTGAAAATATGTAAAGAATCTATTTTTCAAGGAGCATGAAATACAAGCTTTTATTTAATATTTTAAGATGGTTTATTTATCTAACTTGATTCAAGAATTATGTAGCTACCAGTTCATTAAGTTTTAGTGCAATATCAACAGATTCTAGTAAGGTTTATCATTTTATGAAAACTAATGCTAGTAATCCTGAGTGTGAAATTAGATTTTTGCCTATTTTCTCTTCCTATATAGTTTCAGTGAGCAAGTAATGAAAAATTAATTTCTCACAATCAAATCTATATGGGCTTACTTTCCTGAGATACTAAGCAACTTCCCCAAACTAGAAAAATTAGTAATGATAATGGGTAACATTTATTGGGTATGACTATAATTTAGGCAGTATCTTTCAAAACAACTTTGTGAGATCAATATTCTTGATGTTGTCCTTTTACAGATGGAAAAAAATATCTGAGCAGTTAAGTGACTTGTCAAAAGGGTTACAGCACCTATTAGTAACCTGTCTGATCTTTAAACCCAGTCTGACTCTGGAGTCTGTGATCTTAAGCATTACTCTGTGCTGCAATCTAGAAATGGTGACAACATTTATTCAAAGTAAGATATTAATAAAGTAAGCCTTCTATTAACTAAAGGTCATACTTCATTCAGAGTTCCTTCATTTTTACCTAATGTTCTTTTTCTGTACCAGGATCCCACATTACATTTGCTATTTGTTTAATAGCAAAGGTCGTCTCTCCTTTGGCTCCTCTTAGCCGGGATGTTTTCCCGGACCTCCCTTGTTTTTGGTGACCACTTTGACAGTTCTGAAGATTACTGGTCAGCTATTTTGTAGAATGCCCCTCTACTGGAATAGGTTTGGTATTTTTCTCATGATTAAACCAGTTGTGGGATTTTATGAGGAAAATCACAGAGATAAAGTGCCATTTTCCTCACATCACAAATGGATACATATTGTCAATATAGTTAATATCACTACTAATGTTTTCCTGGATCACCTGGCTGAAGTAGTGTTTGTCAGGTTTGTCGGGTTTGTCATGTTTCTCCACTATAAAGTTACTCTTTTTCTCCTTTTCTATACTGTCCTTTTTGGAGGGAAGTCACTATGTACAGCCTATAATTAAAAAGTCAGGGGGTTAAGCTCTGCCTCCTTGAGGGCAGAGAATCTACATAAATTATTTGGAATTATTCTGCACAGGAGATCTGTCTCTTCTTTTTATTGGTTTACTCAATTGTTTGTTTATGTCAGTATAGCTTCATGGACTTTATGCTTTGGGTTATAATCCAATACTACTGTATTTTTTTTTGTTGTTGTTGCTCATGTTTCAGCTTTTGTCATTGGGAGCTCTTTCAGTTGGCTTTGTGCCCCTTTTGAAAGAACACTCAATTTGTGAGTTAAAAAAATTATTTTTAAAGCACTGTCTTACCTATGGCAACAAGATACTCTGGGCTCATTCTTTATGTTGTTTGCCCTAGTCCTAGCATAAGCCATTTCACCATAGAGGCCTAGTTGCTTTGATTGGAGAGTGGTACCAGAAACAATGATCTGGGTGCTAGGTATGCTCAGTGCTGTGGTTGTCCCAACTGATCGAGCAAGGAATTACATGTGTTCACACTAAGCTGTGTATGTACGCATACCTGTAAAGATTTATATATGTAACTGTCAGTATTTATGTTCAGATGAACATGCATTCATATTTCATATTTCCAACTCTAATTTATTATTATATAGATCATTTTAACTTCCCACCATTGCTTATGAGTAAATTTGCACACTGATTGTGAGACACCTGGCTCCCACCATATACTCTTCATTTACTTCATCATTCAGTTCTGGTATACATATATAGCAGTGTCAGAATTGTTAACTCATACCCTGTGGGAAACAACTGTATCACCTAGAGCACAGGGTCTATGTGTGGTTCCTTTTGCATTTTGTCTTCCAGACCCCTATCATTTCCAAAGCTACTTTGGTCAGCATCTTTGCTCTTCCATTTCTTTCAGTGAGATTCCTTCATACGTTTGTGATGCAGCTAGCTTCTTTTGTCACAGTCTACATCTCATCTTGGAATTGCTTCAACCTCCTAAATGATTTTCTTTTTATTTGGCATGCCTTAGGGGTGACTCTTTGTAATACAAAATATTCTATGGGTTTTGACAAATGGAGTGTCATGTTTATAGTATCACAGTTTTACGACCCTAAAAAATTCCATCATATATGCAGCCATCTCCCCTTAACCTCAAACCTCTGATAAGTACTAATCTTTTCCTTGCTTCTATAGTTTTTGTTTTCCAGAATGTCACATTATTGGACTCATACAGTATATAGCCTTTTAAGACCAGCTTCTTAGCAATATACGATGTCCCTACATGTCTTTTTGTAGTTTAATAGTGCATTTCTTTTTTATCAGTTAATAATATTTCAGTATATGGATGTGCCACAGTGTGTTTATCCATTCACCTATTGAAGGACATCTTGGTTGCTTCCAATTTTTGGCAATTATGAGTAAAACTCCTATAAACATTCAAGTATAGGTTTTTGTTCAGACATAGTTTTCAAGTCATTTGGGTAAATGTCAAGGAGTGTGATGGAGCAGTCATATGGTAATCACTGTATTTACCTTGGTAAGGAACTGCCAAACTGTCTTCCAAATTGGCTATATGATTTTGCATTTCCATTAACAATGAACAAGACTTCCTGTTGGTCCGTATCTTTTCAGTATTTGGTATTGTCAGTTTTTCTCAATTTTAGCCATTCTAATAGGTGAACAGTGGCATCCCATTGTTTTAATTTTCAATTACCTAATGACATATGATGTTAAGCATCTTTTCCTATGCTTACTTGCCATCTGTAGATCGTCTTTGGTGAAGTATCTGTTTAGACCTGTTGCCTCCCCCAACCCCCCACCCAACTTTATTGAGGAATAATTGACAAGTTATTTAAAGTGCGTATTGAAATAACTTAATGTATGTATACACTGTGAAAGTATTCCTCTCGTCTAGTCAGTGTACACACACATCACCTTACATACATACATACACACACACACACACACACACACACACAAGTGTATTTTTTTTGTGTGTGTGTGTATGTGTGGTGAGAATGCCCATTTTTAAACTTAGGTTGTTTTCTTCTTGTTAATAAAATAGTTTTTAATGGCCAATTTCTTTTTTGGTCTTAGTCTTCCTGATTATCATTGTGATTCATTTATTGACAGGTTGTTTACTATGAACCAACTTTATGGTAATTCCTTTATATACATTATTACATTATTATGTTTAATCTTCATAACAACTCTATGAGGTATTAATCTCATTTTACAGATGAAGAAATGGCTAGTAGGAGATAGGACCTGTTTGTTCACATATACAGTTGTAAAAGGCAGGGCCAGTTTTGTCAGCATATGCTCTTGCTTCCTATTTAAACACATTAACACTTCAAATTTCTGGAAAACTTTGTAGGTGCCTTGTCATTTATTTAAAATCAGTAAACAGGTATCCATAAAGAAACTTTTCTTTTTTGACATTCAGTGCCTTTCAAGTCATTTTCACATGGTTTAGGCTTTTTAAAAAGGAGATTTCCCCCCCTTGCTTTCATAATATAGAAAGTAAAGTTGTCAAAACTGACTTTCTGGAGTGATTAATTCAAGAAGAAATCAGTTGGTTTTTATAGACAGTCTTTTACATTTTGTTACTTGTGTTTTAAGCTACACCAAAAAACAGTTACAGGAATAGCTGATGGGGAGCTGAAAACTGCACCAAGTTTTCTTCTAAACTATAAAGTGCAGTTGACAGACGTCTTTTTATAGACATGTTTGTGATTGCACACTGTTTTTAGGCTTGAAATTTTTTTGTCAAGGAAAACCTTTCCTTAAAATTTACAAAAGCTGTTTATGGTAAAATAGCAAACTATGGCAAGACAGAGGCCTACTCCACT